AGCATTTTTGAAATACTTTGATTTGTTGGAGCCAAGTTGTCCACGCGTTACCTCGCGACTGTTGACTCAATGCAATCACTTGAAGCACTAGATGCGGAGTTAGCTCAGTCGGTAGAGCGTGAGTCTCATAATCTCAAGGTCGGGAGTTCAAGCCTCCCACTCCGCAAGCTCTCTTTTTCATTGAGTTGAGTGTCTGTCTTGCTTGCATTTTTTTGCACAGTCATGCACGAAAATGAATCAAAAAAAGGACATCTCCGCGACGGGGAATCGAACCCCGGCCGTCGGTGTGAGAGACCGAAATCCTAACCACTGGACCATCGCGGATTTGTTGTGAAGAAGCACTTTTTGACCGACTTTGATCCATCCACATGCTGTATCTGTGCACATCATCAAGAGAATCAGGCCCCAAAAGAAAAAGAAAGCGACAACGACAGGATTTGAACCTGTGCAGGCAGAGCCTAATTGATTTCTAGTCAATCCCCTTAACCACTCGGGCACGTTGTCATTGTTTTCATTTGCGAGTTTCTGGTGGCCAAGTTCACGAGCACCAAGAATGTGGATCATGAGCGATTGTTGTGGACACGTTTACAAGATGGGGAGATGGCCGAGCGGTCTAAGGCGTCACGTTAAGGCCGTGATCTCTTCGGAGGCGTGGGTTCGAACCCCACTCTCCTCATCCTTTTACCCTCTGTCGTTGTGTTGCGTGACATTTGATCGATTGTGGACGATTTCAATGACTGAAAAAATTAAATGGCTCGATGGTCTAGTGGTATGATTCTCCCTTAGGGTGGGAGAGGTCCCGGGTTCAATCCCCGGTCGAGCCCCTTTTGTTCTCCAAGGCACGCTTTTACTCCATCAGCAGTGACACTAAAACACCAACACAGTCGCAAAAGAGTTGTCACCTCCGTGGATTGAACACGGGGCCTTTAGATCTTCAGTCTAACGCTCTCCCAACTGAGCTAAGGTGACTCTTCTTGCAAGACGTAGTTGGTCAAGCTACATTCTTGTCATCTACCACCGAATGAAACAGGATCAAGTCTTTTCAAGGACAAATTCAGATAAAGGCTGATTGGTCTAGTGGTATGATTCGCGCTTCGGGTGTGCGAGGTCCCGGGTTCAATCCCCGGATCAGCCCTCTTTTGCGTTTCTTTTGCTGAAATGGATACAAACGGACATGTTTCAGACACCAATCGGGCGCCAAATGGACATGGTGAGACCTGAGCAGGCTTGAAGCTCTTGTTTTGCCCACTAGGTTCGAACCAAGGGCGCTCTGTGTGTGAGACACACATGATAACCAAGCACAAAATTTCAGAGGGAGAAAAGGTGAGGAAACCACCCTTTTTGGGCAGTTTGCACGGTCACAAAGTGCCTGGATCCACCCCAACCATCTTGTTGTGCCACCAATCGCCCCAAAAGCAGCATCTGTTATTGCACATTTAGGAAAAGAAAGCAATACACAGAGGGTGCAAAACAAAAACGTAAAAGGAGTGTCTTCGTCCAGATTCGAACTGGAGACCGTCTGTGTGTTAGACAGACGTGATAACCAACTACACCACGAAGACATTTAATTTTTTTGACGTCTTTGCCAAGTTTGCATCATACACTAGGGTGTTGGGCGGCGCTGGTTGAATTTGGAGAAACAAAAAATGCGCGCGTGGTCGACTTGCTCAAGCTGTTGCTTTCAGAATCCTCTAGTCTCGTGTTCAAATCCCACATGTGCACAAGTAAAACTCAATGATTTGCTTAGGAAACATGCAACTTTCTCGACAGTTTGCAATGGAAACAGCCTCCTTGAAGGCCAATGCATCTGTCAAATCAAAGGATTTATGTGTTTTTCAATTCATCTGTGACTCTGTGCCAGAACCTAACATGACATGAATCATTGCTGACCAACAACGCCTTCATGTACAATGCAAAATGAACAATCTGCTAGCACCGACCATAGCTCAGTTGGTAGAGCGGAAGACTGTAGTGATATAGCAATCTTTAGGTCCCTGGTTCGAATCCGGGTGGTCGGAACATGTGCCTTTTGCTCCTATTTGCACAGCCAGAGTGGAGGGAATAGGGACTGGATCCCATTCAACATGAACAAAAACAAGAAAGCCTTCTTAGCTCAGTTGGCAGAGCGTCCGCCTAGTAAGCGGAAGGTCAGCAGTTCAAATCTGCTAGGAGGCATTGTAACGTTTTTTGCCCTTTCTTTACAAGAACTACACTTTTTCGAGCAACAAAAAGGATACTCTCCCGCCGGGAATCGAACCCGGGCCTCGCGCGTGACAGGCGCGGATACTAACCACTATACTACAGGAGACTTGTTGATTTCATTGTTTTGAATGCCTTTATTGTGAGCATTCTATGCAGCAGCACATGTCCCCTGTGTATGGACTGTGTGTGAATTAGGATGGAGAGATCATTTATCACCCAGTTCAAAGCATAGACTGCAAAGGAGTACCCATTTTTCGGTCCAAGACTCCAGAAACCCCTCTCAAATGGCACGGGGAATTAGCTCAAGTGGCAGAGCGCTCGCTTAGCATGCGAGAGGCACCGGGATCGATGCCCGGATTCTCCATTTTTTGCACTTTTTGAACAGGTGACTTTGTCGATTTCTGTGAGAGTTTTTCAATTATTGGCCATTCTTTTCAGCCTTTCGGTACACTTGAGTGATTTTGTGCCTCTTTTATACGCTGTGGCCCGTGAAAAAGTCCCTCAGAGCACTCAATTCCACTCACACATTTAGATTTCATGTAGTGATTGAGCATGTTTGAGAGTTTCTTGTGAGTACAATGGCCATTCAGTCTGTAATAACTTATGTTCTCTTTTGCTTTCACTCATTTCACTCGTTTGCGATGATTCTTGTTCTTGTCTAGCAGCAAGAGCAAGGCTCAACCAAACAAGAATCGTGACAAATCAGTCAAAGTGTCCATCCATCGATCCATGTGCAATGCTGGACGATCCTGACTTTGTGCTTACCCAAAATGGCACTTCAATACAGCTATATCTTGTTACCACCCTCTGTGACACTCTACACTGCTTTTATTTGCTCCAAACGACATAAACGAGTGCTCATTTGCCCACCAAACAAAAACAAATCGCGTCCTGTGTTCTGACAATCCCAACTCGTTGGTTGATTGGTCCATGTTTTGAGCACATGGGAACATGTTTGATTCATTTAGATTATGTATTTGAGCATGCTCTATCACGTCAACGAGTCAGAATAGTGCGCCATGTAGTGAGAATCGTCCATATGGCCTCGCTTTTGCTCGATCATCGTTTTCGCAGATCAGCAACACGCGATTCTGATTTCACTGATTTCACGAGCACCATGTGGTCATTGTCATCCAATGCATTATACACTACTCACAAACACTTTTGTTTCTTTACGTAGGTACACAAATACGCTTTGTAGAACACCATTTGAGTGAAGCTTTTTCTCTGATTGATTGTATAGTTAAAACGCCGAGAAACAGCTCATGTTTGCCAACATGTCACTCAGTCTGTGCACATTTCGCATCATTTCGACTCAAACAAGTCAGATATTCTCACTTCATAATAAACAAAAAGCTGTATTCTGCACATGCACTCAACATACCATCGTCAGAGTTGCATAAATCGCCCTCCTCTCAACACGTTTCTGACTTGAGAGAGAGAGAATCGCTCAACCATGTTTACTTGGACGCGTCTGTCTCATGTTGATCCGATCCACACGAGCTTTCACCACAAAAACTACCCCTTGGATTCATCAAAACCGCTCCAAATTCTCACAGTACCACAATCGCATGCGTAGAATACAGTTTTCGACCCGCCAGAGCGGTCACGGGCAATTTATAGGCACTTTTTTTAACGCAAAAAGCGCGCGCCCGACTCTCACACATCACTCTCACTCTTTCCACATGACATACACACCTTGGGCACACACATACATACTTGACAGCATTGTATTCATTACCCGGCTTGATATTGTACCCCTGTTTTGAGTCAAAAACACCACCACAAAACACAAAATCATAATCGCGCACACACAAGTCACAACCATTGCTCATTCTACTTGTACCTATTTATCTGCTGCCCACACCACATACATACAACATGCATGTACCTTGGTGTGCATGCATTTCATTCTTCCGTTGCGTTGCGTCCACACATACTGTATGTACCCCACATTTGCATGAGTGAGTGTGAGTCTCACCCACGCATCACACACCACACGCTCTCCTAGCAAATTATACAAAATACGCTCCTCTCACGTCGTCATTTCTTTGATTGCTGTGAAAGAATGAATCACGATCGATATCACAAACAGCCAAAAAGCGCATGAATAGCACTTGAACGGTGCAAAAACCACACATTTCTGCAATACAAGTTATGGGATAAATTCAAAAAGAACTCATCCCATCAATTTTGCCATGCTCACAACCCAAGTCGTCCTCAAATTTTTGCCCTTTTGTCATTGTATTGGCAAATCAGTTGAATCAGCTGAAATGTCATGATGATTCCTATACGAAATCACACCAAATGAGGGGATTCAGCATGCTTTTGGCATTCATTTGGCCAGAAAAACGATAGAGAAACGTCCAACGCCAATGATTTTGATGTGAAGACTCTGTATTTTGAGCACCACAACAATGCATCAAGCAAAACGAAAAGAAAAACCTCCGCATCGGGGAATCGAACCCCGGCCACCGCGGTGAAAGCGCGGGATCCTAACCACTGGACCAATGCGGACTTTTCGAAAAATTGAAAATCCATGAGCCAGGTTGACTTGAACAGGATCAAAACAGATGGACACAAAAAAATGTAGTACCCAGTGTGGGGCTCGAACCCACGACATTGAGATTAAGAGTCTCACGCTCTACCGACTGAGCTAACCGGGCTTGTTGTTTGCTGGCCTCTGTTACCGTTCTTGGACTGCAGACAGCCCTGAACGTCAATTGAGTGGAGGTTTTCATTTGTGGCTCTTGTGCAAGGAACATCATGGATCTCAAAAAGAGCTTGGATCTCAACAAGCATGGTTGGTTTAGTGGTATAATTGCCGCCTGCCACGCGGCAGACCCGGGTTCGATTCCCGGACCATGCAAGTTTTTGTCTTTCAAGACATCTTTTTTTTTATTGTGATACTCAATGCATTCAAACTCCAAAAAGAACCAAAACTTTGTCTTCGTCCAGGTTCGAACTGGAGACCTTGTGCGTGTGAAGCACACGTGATAACCAACTACACCACGAAGACATTTTGAATTTTGTGTCATTTGACTCGATCCAAAAATGAAAACAGTGACCTTGTCATCTGTGGAACGAGGTCTTTGTTGAACTCCATGCAGTAACATGGTCCCATAGCTCAGTCGGTTAGAGCGTGGTGCTAATAACGCCAAGGTCGACGGTTCGACCCCGTCTGGGACCATTCTTTTTTGTTGTCTTGTTGTCTTTTTGTGCCAGAGGGACCCTTTTGCCATCTCCAGCAGGGCGTCTTCACCTGTTATCGCCTTCTAGACCTGTTTGTGGGTGCACAGATTGCCAGAAAATGCACAAAAAGCCCACAAAACATTGCAAAAAGATGGGCAAATCTTTCCCCTGGAATATGTGAACACACAAAAAACAAACAAAGTCGCTCCAGGGTGGACTCGAACCACCATCCTTTCGATTAACAGTCGAACGCGCTAACCAATTGCGCCACTGGAGCATTTTTGAAATACTTTGATTTGTTGGAGCCAAGTTGTCCACGCGTTACCTCGCGACTGTTGACTCAATGCAATCACTTGAAGCACTAGATGCGGAGTTAGCTCAGTCGGTAGAGCGTGAGTCTCATAATCTCAAGGTCGGGAGTTCAAGCCTCCCACTCCGCAAGCTCTCTTTTTCATTGAGTTGAGTGTCTGTCTTGCTTGCATTTTTTTGCACAGTCATGCACGAAAATGAATCAAAAAAAGGACATCTCCGCGACGGGGAATCGAACCCCGGCCGTCGGTGTGAGAGACCGAAATCCTAACCACTGGACCATCGCGGATTTGTTGTGAAGAAGCACTTTTTGACCGACTTTGATCCACCCATGCTGTCTTGCACATCATCAAGAGAATCAGGCCCCAAAAGAAAAAGAAAGCGACAACGACAGGATTTGAACCTGTGCAGGCAGAGCCTAATTGATTTCTAGTCAATCCCCTTAACCACTCGGGCACGTTGTCATTGTTTTCATTTGCGAGTTTCTGGTGGCCAAGTTCACGAGCACCAAGAATGTGGATCATGAGCGATTGTTGTAGACACGTTTACAAGATGGGGAGATGGCCGAGCGGTCTAAGGCGTCACGTTAAGGCCGTGATCTCTTCGGAGGCGTGGGTTCGAACCCCACTCTCCTCATCCTTTTCCCTCTGTCGTTGTGTTGCGTGACATTTGATCGATTGTGGACGATTTCAATGACTCAAAAAATTAAATGGCTCGATGGTCTAGTGGTATGATTCTCCCTTAGGGTGGGAGAGGTCCCGGGTTCAATCCCCGGTCGAGCCCCTTTTGTTCTCCAAGGCACGCTTTTACTCCATCAGCAGTGACACCAAAACACCAACACAGTCGCAAAAGAGTTGTCACCTCCGTGGATTGAACACGGGGCCTTTAGATCTTCAGTCTAACGCTCTCCCAACTGAGCTAAGGTGACTTTTCTTGCAGTTGTAGTGGTCGAGCTACATTCTTGTCATCTACCACCGAATGAAACAGGATCAAGTCTTTTCAAGGACAAATTCAGATAAAGGCTGATTGGTCTAGTGGTATGATTCGCGCTTCGGGTGTGCGAGGTCCCGGGTTCAATCCCCGGATCAGCCCTCTTTTGCGTTTCTTTTGCCGAAATGGACACAAACGGACATGTTTCAGACACCAATCGGGCGCCAAATGGACATGGTGAGACTTGAGTGAGAAGGCATGAAGCTCTTGTTTTGCCCTCAAGGTTCGAACCAAGGACGCTTGTGTCTGAGACAGGCATCATAACCCAAGGAAAAAAATTCAGAGGGACAAAGTGTCACTACAGGTGAGGAAACCTCCCTTTTTGGGCAGTTTGCATGGTCACAAAGTGCCTGGATCCACCCCAACCATCTTGTTGTGCCACCAATCGCCCCGAAAGCATCTGTTATTGCACATTTAGGAAAAGAAAGCAATACACAGAGTGGCAAAACAAAAACGTAAAAGGAGTGTCTTCGTCCAGATTCGAACTGGAGACCGTCTGTGTGTTAGACAGACGTGATAACCAACTACACCACGAAGACATTTAATTTTTTGAGCCTTTTCCAACTATCAATCATACACTAGGGTGCTCGGCGGCGCTGGTTGAATTTGAAGAAACAAAAAATGCGCGCGTGGTCGACTTGCTCAAGCTGTTGCTTTCAGAATCCTCAAGTCTCGTGTTCAAATCCCACATGTGCACAAGTAAAACTCAATGATTTGCTTAGGAAACATGCGACTTTCTCGACAGTTTGCAATGGAAACAGCCTCCTTGAAGGCCAATGCATCTGTCAAATCAAAGGATTTATGTGTTTTTCAATTCATCTGTGACTCTGTGCCAGAACCTAACATGACATGAATCATTGCTGACCAACAACGCCTTCATGTACATGCAAAATGAACAATTTGCTAGCACCGACCATAGCTCAGTTGGTAGAGCGGAAGACTGTAGTGATATAGCAATCTTTAGGTCCCTGGTTCGAATCCGGGTGGTCGGAACATGTGCCTTTTGCTCCTATTTGCACAGCCAGAGTGGGGGGAATAGGGACTGGATCCCATTCAACACGAAGAAAAACAAGAAAGCCTTCTTAGCTCAGTTGGCAGAGCGTCCGCCTAGTAAGCGGAAGGTCAGCAGTTCAAATCTGCTAGGAGGCACTGTAACGTTTTTGCCCTTTCTTTACAAGAACTACACTTTTTCGAGCAACAAAAGGATACTCTCCCGCCGGGAATCGAACCCGGGCCTCGCGCGTGACAGGCGCGGATACTAACCACTATACTACAGGAGACTTGTTGATTTTGTTGTTTTGAATGCCTTTATTGTGAGCACTCAATGCAGCAGCACATGTCCCCTGTGCACTGTGTGTGAATTAAGGATGGGAGAGATCATTTATCCCCCAGTTCAAAGCATAGACTGCAAAGGAGTACCCATTTCTCGGTCCAAGACTCCAGAAACCCCACTTAAATGGCACGGGGAATTAGCTCAAGTGGCAGAGCGCTCGCTTAGCATGCGAGAGGCACCGGGATCGATGCCCGGATTCTCCATTTTTTGCACTTTTTGAACAGGTGACTTTGTCGATTTCTGTGAGAGTTTTTCAATTTTTGGCCATTCTTTTCAGCCTTTCGGTACACTTGAGTGATTTTGTGCCTCTTTTATACGCTGTGGCCCGTGAAAAAGTCCCTCAGAGCACTCAATTCCACTCACACATTTAGATTTCATGTAGTGGTTGAGATTGTTTGAGGGTTTCTTGTGAGTACAATGGCCATTCAGTCTTGAGTAACTCGAGTTCTCTTATGCTTTCACTCGTTTCACTCGTTTGCGATGGTTCTTGTTCTTGTCTAGCAGCAAGAGCAAGGCTAAACCACCACAAGAATGGTGACAAATGAGTGAATGAGTCCATCCATCGATCCATATGCACAATGCTGGACGATCCTGACGTTGTGTTTACCCCAAAGAATGATTCAATGGCACTTCAATACAGCTATATCTTGTTACCACCCTCTGTGACACTCTACACCGCTTTTAGTTGCTCTAAACGACATAAACGAGTGCTCATTTGCCCACCAAACAAAAACAAATCGCGTCCTGTGTTCTGACAATCCCAACTCGTTGGTTGATTGGTCCATGTTTTGAGCACATGGAAACATGTTTGATTCATTTAGGTTATGTATTTGAGCATGCTCTATCACGTCAACGAGTCAGAATAGTGCGCCATATAGTGAGAATCGTCCATATGGCCTCGCTTTTGCTCGATCATCGTTTTCGCAGATCAGCAACACGCGATTCTGATTTCACCGATTTCACGAGCACCATGTGGTCATTGTCATCCAATACATCATATGTACACTGCTCACAAACACTTTTGTTTCTTTACGTAGGTACACATATACGCTTTGTATAACACCATTTGAGTGAAGCTTTTTCTCTGATTGATTGTATAGTTAAAACGCCGAGAAACAGCTCATGTTTGCCAACATGTCACTCAGTCTGTGCACATTTCGCATCATTTCGACTCAAACAAGTCAGATATTCTCACTTCATAATAAACAAAAAGCTGTATTCTGCACATGCACTCAACATACCATCGTCAGAGTTGCATAAATCGCCCTCCTCTCAACACGTTTCTGACTGGAGAGAGACAGAGAATCGTTCAACCATGTTTTATGTACTTGGACGCGTCTGTCTCATGTTGATCCGATCCACACGAGCTTTCACCACAAAAACTACCCCTTGGATTCATCAAAACCGCTCCAAATTCTCACAGTACCTCAATCGCATGCGTAGAATACAGTTTTCGACCCGCCAAAGCGGTCACGGGCAATTTATAGGCACTTTTTCACGCAAAAAGCGCGTCCGACTCTCACACATCCTTCACTCTTTCCATATGACATACACACCTTGGGCAGCATTGTATTCATTACCCGTCTTGATATTGTACCCCTGTTTTGAGTCAAAAACACCACCACAAAATCATAATCGCGCACACACAAGTCACAATCAATCGTTGCTCATTCTACTTGTATACCTATTTATCTGCTGCCCACACCCCATACAACATGCATGTATGTACCTTGGTGTGCATGCATTTCATTCTTCCGTTGCGTTGCGTCCACACATACTGTATGTACCCCACATTTGCATGAGTGAGTGTGAGTCTCACCCACGCATCACACACACAACACACACCACACACGCTTACCTAGCAATTAATAAAAAATACGCTAAGTCCATGTTTCAGAATTTTCTTCGCGTGATCCTGACGAATTTCTCTATGCTTTATACCCCTTTTGACCCCCACATCGTACTCTCATACCCCAACCGCTCTATCGATTGGCACTAGCCGTTTTTCAATACGACCTCTCCTCGAGAAATGGGCTGTTAAAAAACTTTGAAACACGTGCCGATTTGATCAGTAAAAACGCGTAAAAACGCGTCGAAAACGCCAGAAATCGCGAGCAAACGCGTGCGGATCGACCAATCCTTATTCTGGACTTTGAATTTTGTCGTTGTGGGTGAGACAACTACGCCAGCACCCGGCACACCTGTTCACAACCTTGGCCATGTTCGTGTATATACGTATTTCGTGGCACTCGCTCTATTGCGCGCCAACTACATCCGCTGATAATGTTCTGACATATGTAACCTACGTATTTTTTGTGTCCGGATGCGAAAATCATACTCCTGAAAGCCTACCGTTACATTTTCAACCCCTCCCTCGTCGCTCGTCCCAAACCAACACACATCTTTGGCACCCACCAGGTTTTCTTTCCCGGTTGATCCAGTCCGTGCCATGAACCTTTGCACCGGCAGTCTGCTTGCCATCAACTCATATGTATATCGTTTTTGTGGAGTTCGGCCGCCTCTGGCTGATAATCGATGGTGGATTAGCAGATACTGATCCTCGCTTACACAAGCCAGACTCCTTCGGTCCTTGGCCATCCTCGCACCTTCTTTCCCCACGCACGCACCCGTCGCCAGTGAGCCCGCCAATCGAGTTGGCGACTTAAACCATTGACACGACAGGGTGGGCCGATCCCTGCAACATATTCTCTCCGCACGAGCAACACATCCATGACAGCCAAGGACTGCCCAATGCCACGGTCACGAACCCAGCATCCCGCCGTCCACCGTCCACCGTCCACCGTCAACAGCGGCCACCCTCCACGTCAAGTCTGCTGAGATGAGGGCCCCTTGCCTCAACAGCCAGCTCGGATCCACCTGCACGGGTGGAAAGCACCGGGCTCTGTCTACGATTGATGACTTAACCGATCTATGTACCTATGTTGGAGCGACTGCTGTTCCTTGGTGGTCAGTTGTCGTTGGCATTTCGCTCTCTCTCACATCCACTGGCTCAATTCCCCTCCATGAACCATGAACCATGAAGCCCATGAAGGCTCTGTCCTCCAGCCGTCCCTTCCGGCCCGCCGGCATGGCTGCCGGGCAGAGCAGGGTAACCTGTCAGACTGACGGCGACATCACCACCCGCCCAATCGCCCGCCCGCCGCCGTCGCCCTCTCTCTCGCCCATCGAGTATCGGGTGCTCCGGTCCGTGAGCGCCGCACAATCATGTTCCAGTCCATCCACTCTGCCTCCTCTGCTGCGATCTTGCACCTCGTCGCTGTTGGAGCCCGTCATCCTGGCTCGTTGGTTGGCCTCGTCGTGTCGGGTCGCCCACCGATCAAATCGAGCTGCGCGACCGCCATGGCCTCTGCCGCTGATTGAGCCCGTGGATCCGTACTCGTTGGCACACTTTGTCAAGTCGATGGCCGTTTCCGCTTCATGCCCTCGCAGTTGGCCCTCTCATGTACTTTCCTGGCGATGGTCCGCTCCTGAGCATCCATCAGGCCTACGCCGCCGTGGTGGCTTCCGTCACACTCGTAACTGCTGCTTGCTCATGTTCTCCCTCCTGTCCCTTGAGCCTACCACCCACAACCGACATGCAACACCGTCTTTCTGCGCGGACCGTCAACCGCGATTGTATCCGCGACCATTCGTTCCTCCCTCCGAATCAAGCAGGCCGTTGGGTGGACAACAAAACAACCCCTATTGTGCCTCCACCCCGCCCAACAAGCTCACCACCTTGACCATGGCCAGCACCACCCGTGGCCAGGATCCGTGATTATGTCCACGACCGCCAGTGACGCCTTGTCCACAACTTCTGCTCGCTCGCTTGTGTTGACATCCAACTCAACTTTGGCCCTCTGTGGAGCCTTTTGGTGCAATTTGCTTGTTGCCAGTCCATGCCGCAAGTGTGGGTGTCGGCCCTTAAACAACCACGACCTACAATGCACTCAGAGTATGGACGACGCTGTGCAATCGTTTCCGTCCTTTCCCCAATCACCAACTCCTCTACAGCCACGCTCGCCCACACCGTACATCGCCACGCCGTGCATTGCTGCCCGCGCGACCAGATTCACTTGACGAGGCATGCAAGCGTCGCCGCCAAAACATGTGGCTCGTCATCTTGTCTCTCCGCTCGTTGATCTAGACGGTCGGCCGCACCAGCTCCCTTTGCGAGTTTGTCCTTGAAGCCACGCTCAATTTTTATGTCGCACGCTCAAGCCAAACAAAGATGTGGCCCATGGGGGGCACCATGCCGGCGACAACAACGAGACGGGCGGGCATGTGCGCACAACGGGCGCTGATGGCGGCAGTGTGGAGGTCGAGGGATTGTGTTGCTGTGGCCCGTTTCACTCGCGGCTGTCTTGCCCAGTCGCATTTGCACCATTGTGGCTGGACTTGGGTGCAATCCACGCACAGAGTCCAATGCCACCATTTTGGATCGCGATGTGCACGCATCCTCGAGACAGGACGAACGTTTGTATTCCCCACGGTGCCGTTGTTGCGTGCATATTAACAAGTACGACGGCTTTGTCGCCGTCATGATGGCTTGGGGGTTGGTTCATCTTGGCGGGCAAGCAGCTGAGTCAGAAACATGGTGTGTTGGTGCAGGTGTCGGCTCGCTTGTGGTCTCTGTATGTGTTTATTCTTTTGAATGAGCACAATGTCGATGCGGGAGAAGCGCAAGCACACTGCGTGTGGGAAACTAGGATCGGCAGGACAAAGACATGATCGGATCGGTGGACATCAACATTATGCGCTTCAGCTTCAGAAACAGCGTCTCAGAAGGTTGACAAGCAACTTACGGCCACGGCTCGCTCGCAACCAGTTAAGTTCCTTACTTATTAATGTCAAACGTCGTTATCTGTTGCCACTGCCAATCCCCGGCCCTTGTGTCTGCTCCTGCTCCTGCTCTTGCTCTTGCTCTTGCTCTTGCTGTTTGCTGTT